AGAAGGAAATAACAGCCTGAGCTGAAGTCCTGCTGGATCCAGCCAGGGGAATCGCTTGATCCCCTGGATCTGTTTCCTCGCAGGGGACACACAAGCAGGTGCAAAGAAGACCTCCGCTTTGATTAACCCACAATGAAAATATTTGCCCACAGGGACTTGACGATCGTGCTTGTTGACCAGGGTTGAATAGGGCGAGGGCTCCTCACTCCCTTCTTTCCCTCTTTCAGGCTTCCACGGGAGCGAAGAGACGCAAGCGGAAACGGGTCTTGAAATCCAGAACGTTTGTGGATGACGAAGGCTGCTTTGGTAGGTAGCCCGGCTGTCCCCGGGTAGAATGCATCTCCCGTGGCTCTGGATGGGTCGGTCGGCTTTTAATTAGCTGGTTGAGAAGGTCCCAGCAGCTTGCCCGGCATCGAAGACCAGAATCCCGAAAAGGAGATATAGGATAGGATAGGATAGGATAGGAAAGGAAAGGAAAGGAAAGGAAAGGAAAGGAAAGGAAAGGATACGATGAGAAAATAGAGTATAGAATAAAATAGAGTGGAGTGGGATGGGATGGAATAGAATAGGAAAATAGAATAGAATAGAAAATAATAGAATAGGAGAGGAGAAGAGGAGAGGAGAGGAGAGAAGAGAATTGAATAGAATAGGAGAGAATAGAATGAGAAAATAGAGTATAGAATAAAATAGAGTGGAGTGGGATGGGATGGGATAGAATAGGAAAATAGAATAGAATAGAAAATAACAGAATAGGAGAGAATAGAATAGGAGAGAATAGAATATAGAATAAAATAGAGTGGAGTGGGATGGAATAGAACAGAAAATAGAATAGAATAGAAAATAATACAATAGGAGAGAAGAGAAGAGAACAGGAGAGGACAGAAAGGATAGGATAGACTGGGAGAATAGAATATAGAATAAAATAGAGTGGAGTGGGAGGGAATAGAATGAGAGAACAGAATATAGAATAAAATAGTATAGTGGAATAGAATAGAGTAGAATGGAATGGAATAGGAAAGAATAGAATATAATAGAACAGAACAGAATAGAGAACAGAACAGAGAATAAAACAGAATAGATTGGAGTGGAATGGAATGGAATGGAATGGAATTGAATAAAACAGAGTAGAGTGGAATGGAATAGAATATAGGATAGGGTAGGATAGGATAGAATCATAGCATAGCATAGCATAGCATAGCATAGAATAATAGAATAGGAATAAAATAAGAATAGAAATACAGAGTAGAGTAAAGTGAACTTGAATAGGCTAGGCTAAAAGTAGGAATCAGGATGGAATGGAATAGGAATCCATTAGGAAGAATAGGAACCAGCATGGAACGGAGGGGGAAGGGGCCTTGGAGAGCCTTCACCACCTCACACACAAGTGACTGTCCATCTTAACCAGCCCAGGGTTAACGGAGCCTTCCCTCCTTCCGAGGTGGGTCGAAAGAGGACCCAGATCGTTGCGGGCAAGAAGCCGACTCCGTAAACCGCTTCGAGGGGGCTGGGAAGCACCGGGAAGCGGTACACAACTCTAAGGCGGGTCTCCAGACTTGGCCACTTTTAAGATTTGTGGACTTGAACTCCCAGAGTTCCCCAGCTAGTCATGCTGGCTGGGTATTCTGGGAGTTGAAGTCCACAAGTCTTAAAAAAGTGGCCAAGTTTGAAGAAGACCCCTGGCCTGAGAGCTATTGGCGTTGCTCTACTGCAGCTTTAATTCTTTGGTCGGCAAAATCTAAACTGAACACCACCCCGCTCCTCCTCTTCCTTAAACTAAACACGCCCAATTCCCGCAAGAGACGTTCTCTTCTCGAGAGGAGGAAAGAGAGGGAAACCTCCCAGGTCTCCTCTGTGCGAACTTGTATCTCCTCTTGTTTCCCAGTGACGGAAAAAGCCTACGAGAGCGAATCTTGCACGGAGAGCGAAGAGGACGCCCGGACCAAGCCCGGCGCGGCTCACAAGGCCTTCCCTGGGGCCCCCAAGAAAGACCCCAAAGAGGAGAAGAGGGGCACCAAGAAAGGAGGAGGGGTCCCTAGCAAGGCCAACAAGCAGGCCTCCATCACGGGCTTCTTCCATAAGAAATGATCTCCCGATTCTCCCGAGTGAGGGATCGGCCACGTAGTTGTGCTCTCGGGATCCGGACGGTGGGCCTTGGGAAGTGTCTGATCCTGAAATCAGACGGACACCAGGGGCTGGAAGGCTGGCTGGCACGGGGCAGCCAGGCGCCTAGAAGCTTCCCATCAAAGATAGCACACCTTCCTTGGATCTTCTCAAAGGAAAGCTTTTGGGGGCAGGTCCCCCACAGGTATAGATGCTCCACACCTTTGGCGGTTGGCCATCCTTCCTTCTCTGTGGTGGGATTTTTGCAGTGCCTTCCTGGGAACGGGGAGGGGCTTATCTTCTCTCTTGGGGGAGGGGGTTGATCTTTGGGGACCTTGATTGACCAGAGGTCCAGAGGGGAAGCCCGAGGAAGCCGGCACAGGTGCCTCCCAAGAAGACCTAGGTGAGGCTTTCATGGCTCCATGGGGGGCTCCGTTTCAAGAAGACGACCGGATCCCGCAAGGACTTGCTTCCAAGAAGAGCCCCGAGAGACCTCAAGTTCCGCCAGGACTTGCAGCTGGAAAACATCTGGCCCGTCCTCTCCAAGGATCTCCACCACCTGGCCTGGCCCCTCCCTTCTCCAGGAACAATTGCCAAGTCGTTGAGGGACACTTTTGGCCTTCCAAGGAAGCCCAGCTATTGACTTCCGCTTCCTTCAACGGAACCCTTCCGGGTTCCTTAAGATCTCGCAGCCAGCTTTGGGTCCAGGAAAGCTGCGATCCGGCCTCCGAAAATCGGCCCAGGCTTGCTCTCTCGAAGCCCCTGCTCGAATTGGTCGTTGCAAATCCCCCCTCTAAGGAGAAAGGACATCCAGACTGACCAGGAGCATCACCGGGAGCCGGAGATGCTATTCCGTCTTCCACCCATCCGTTGAACTAACTACGAGTTCCCTTCCCAGCATGGTTACACAAAAGCGGTGGCCCTTGTTTTCCCGCCTCTGAAGAATATGGCTTTGGCTTGGACCCTCTACAGGGTGGGTGGGGTGGGGGTGGGAATAGACAGCAGCCCCTCCCTAAACTGGGATTGAAGGGCTGTTTGGGGAAAATTGGCGGTCTTTTGCTATTTTGGGGGGACAGGGTCTGCCTAAGAAAGAGGCCGTTTTGATACCGAAGGAACAAGAATGAAGACGCTTCTGGGGCCCAACTCCAAAGAAATTAAAACTTTAAAAAGCTCTACAGAGGCCTCCATGGATCGGTACAACATCCGGGCCCACTCTGGACCTTGCCAGGTCTTAGTGACCCCCCCAAAAAATGACAATGACCAAGTCTTGGGAGTATCATTTTGCCTGTCTCTGGTGGGTCTCCTTGTTTCCGCTTCTCCCGGAGTTTTCCTTATAAGTGGGCAGTGTCATTTCCCCAGGTTTTAACCGTGGGATTATCTCAACGGGGAGGAGGACAAGGAACTGGAATTCACACCAGTTGTTCCCAGGCTACGACACCAAGGCAAGTATTGTACCACGGATTAACCCAGTTCAGTACCAACAAGTCGTTAACGGTGTTTTTTTGCAGTCATTAAGGCAGGGGTCCCCCCAAACTTGGCCACTTTTAAGACTCGTGGACTTTCAAACTCCCAGAATTGAAGTCCACAAGTCTTAAAAGTGGCCAAGTTTGGAGACCTTCTATAATTAAGGCTTCAGGTTTGGGCTGCAGGCGTCCAGGCGGCCTCTTGAGTAAACGAGGCACATTCGTGCGTTTCCTCTCCCCGATTGTGGTTATATTTGGATTTTTGCAACCAAATCGCTGTAGCTCAAGTCATAGGCCAAAGAAGCTTTCTCTTTAAAATCCCCGATGGCGTCGGAGAATGAATCGCGTCATTCGTTCCGCTGGAAGGCCAAAAGGAGGGAACGCTTTGGCCTTTCCCACTAAAATGCCTTTTCAGGTTTCAAGCCTGATAAAAGGCTGGACTCTTCCAGCTTTGCTTCTGACAAAAACGAACAATAAAAATCGGTCCCCAAACCATTCAGAGGCAAGAAATGTCTATTTGATCAGCTTCTGGGTCTGTTTTTTCAATCTCCAACCTTGGCAGGTTTGAAGAGGGGTGGGCTTCCACTCCCAGAATCCCCCAATTCGAGCAGAGCTGGGCTAGGGAATTGTGGGAGTTGAAGGTCCACACACACACCCCCTCTTCAAACCTGCCAAAGTTGCGGGGAACGCTGCAGTCCTAGCGGCTCATTTTACAATGAACGCACCAGGGCAATAATAATAATAATAATAATAGGTATTTTTGGGGAGGGTATCGGTCAACTTCCTATCCAGAACCAGCCTGTAGAGTTACCTCCAGTTTTGTAGGTCAAACACCAGGGCAGGGAGTGAGTCCTGGCTTGGTTTGGGAGGGAATTAAGGGCCGGATGAGGAGTTAAGGGGCCTCTGCTTTTCGGAGGTAAACAAAACTTGGGTTTTTCTGACTTTCCCCTCTTTTTATGTCTTTTTTTAAAACATTTTTTCCCCCCAGTTTTTTTTTCCCCTGAGAAATTTATACTGGAAAAGCCAAGTTGAATAAAGGACGTGGTCTTGTATGCTATTTTTTCCCCCCCGTTCTTCCTCCTTTTTGGTGGGAGGGGGTTGTTTGGTTTGGGATTTGTGGGCCTTTATTGCTGTTTTGTTTGGTCAACGTC